GTCTTGTGAAGTCGCTGAGGTATATCATCCAGTTTTATCGACAGCTGATCTGCTTTTTTCTGTTCAAGCTGTCATTCCCTGCATCTGTGCGTAATTGCTGGAGCCTTCTTGCTTCGCTATTGCCTTTCGGTGCTTTTTTTGTTAACAAAAAATTTGACTGCAGCAATAAAAGTATAGTTCGGCAGTTCTGCTCGCTGCAATTTTTATTGCAGTTGGTCTTGCCATCCAGATCTCTTGAGCGCTTTTGTTTATCATAAGGATTTTGTGGAGAATTTTCCATGTTGAAAGATTTTCTACTCATCACTGCCTTAGCTTTTTGGCGTGAGTTCCGATAACTTTTCCCGTTTTTAACGAGCTTCAGTTTGAATTAAAACTCCGCATGGGACTTGATAGTTTTTATCAGAACTCCTTGTCGTCCCTGTACTGGAGGTGCTATTGCAAGTTTAAAATTTGTAAAACTACAGATAGGCAGCAGAAGGCGAACAATTCGAAATAAAGATTCATTTGCCAACGACGACTTGTTGATGGGTGTTGCGTCGCTGATTTCCTGTGCCGTATGTCCAGGTGAAGTAACACTGCGTGATCACGATGGAATCAGAGAGCATTTTATCAATCAGCATCTTGATGGTGGTAATTTCTTATTGGTTAAAAAAGAAAAAATTAAATTTGAAGCTTCGGACGTGGACGAGTCTGGCAAATGATATATCTGTGAGTGAAATGAGTACAATTAACCATTGCCGTAAACCATGGGCAAATCGGCTCCAGCTTGCTCTGCATATGCTTGCTGGATTTTGTTACCATTGGTACCAAATATATTCCTTTGTTTTAAGAGCATGGGCGTTGTCGAGCGTGCACCGAAGTTGTTAGTACAGCGGATCCAGTGAGTCACATGAGGGCACATCTGGTGAAACAATATGCGTGTGAATTTTGTGGCAAAAAAGGCAGGAAGCATTATTTAAAGGCTCATATTCGTGTCCACACTGGAGAAAAGCCTTACCAGGTTTGCAAAATCTCTTGTTTTGTGTAGTATTTTCGCTTTCATGTATGGGTAACGTCTAAAAAATTAGGTGCTAATGCGTCAAGAACGTATTAGTGCGCATTTTCTAGCTGCCAGATAGTCAGTTAGAGTACGAGTTAGTTATCGTGCAGCAGTAAAATGCGGCACGCCCGTTATTATTATTTAAAAGGCACTCCTAGTTGTTTATGTGTTTGTGTATTTCTTGGAGGCGAAAATCAGCTTTTATTACACTTTGTTTGACTTCTTGGCAGTTTTTTCTTT